TCAAGCACTATATTCACAAGTAGTTGGACAAAATTGACGCATGTTAAGGCATCCAAGCAAATCAAATATCAAATCATGGCTAACCTATCCACAATGCTCATCATCATATACCAAGAATCAAAACAATTTTCAAGTATGGGGCACAGGGAAGCATGATTTACAATTCATTTGAACGTATTTTTGTATTTTTTTTTATTTTTCAAAGCAATAAAACTACACTAGAAAGCAATAAATCTATATTAAAATACACAAAAAATAATAGAAAGAGAAGAAGAAAGATACCATCATCTAAAAATCTCCCCCAAGCCAAGATCAGACAATATCCTCATTGGCTCGGGAACTAGCCTAGCATGGCTAATCTTCACGATCCTTATCCATGGAGCCAAATCCTCCACCGCTACCACCTACACCACCAGAAGAACTACCACCAAAATAATTAGGGTTATAAGTCCCCCACGAGCCCCCCCCCCCAAAAAAAGGAATGTCCTGACCATATCTATGAAAGGCCGAGTAGTCTATGTAAATAGGAAGATGGGTCGATCCACAGGGAAACAAGTCTTCCTATTCCTAATTAATTAATATAATATAAATTATAGAGTAACTAAATTATAGATATGATTAAATCAAACTAAGGGAGAATAAAGTAGGGAGAAATTAATTAATAAAAGCCTAGGGTATAGGTTCACCAATAAATAATATCCCAGGATAAAACATAATAATCAATCATCAATGCACCAATTAATCAGATCATAAAGGGATTTCTCTACGTATTACAATCATAGAGTTAATTTACCTGCATTAAATCTCATCTCTCGAATCTCGACTTAACCATTTATAAATTAGTCTACCTATTGAAACTAAGCCTAAACATCAATTCTCGCTCATCTCTCGAATCTCAAATCAATATTGCATAACTCATACAATTAAACTAGGCCTAATCTAATTGTATAACATTAAATCAATCAATAGGAAATTAATCAAGCACTGATTATCAACAATAATAAATTACCCCTTCATATTATTTATGGATCCCCACAAACCCTAGAAAGAAAACTACTCACACATAATTAAATCTAAACTAATCAAAGAAAATAAACAAGACATGATAAATTAAAGAAATTAAATTACTAAAATTAATAAGGAAGAAATCGTTACCAAAGTTAACGGAAATAATGAGTTAAATTAAAGAAAAAATTTGTAGAGAGAGAAAATAGGAGAGAAGTTTAAGTTTAAGAGAAGATTAAACTAATGAAAGAGAGATAATTGTATCTAAAGCTATTAAAACGTACTTATACAAAGCCTCTAAAAATCCTAATTAGAAACTAAGTAAAATCGTCAAAAGCGACCCTCAAAAACACGTGCCTGGTCGAGCGAGGCACCGCCCGGTCTAGCTCGCCTTTTTGTCTCCAAGCTTTCTCTCGCGCCCGGCCGGGCGCAAGCTCGAGCGAAGCAATGCTCTAATTCTTCTTCCGCCCCGCCCGGCGGGGCGTGCCTTCGTGCAAGGTAATGTCCGGGTGGGCAAAGCTCTTGGACGTCTTAGACTTCTCGTTTGGGCTATTAACTTCGGCCCAAACTAAATTTCCTCCTTGGGGCTTTAATACTCGGTCCAAATTCCTCGGTATCTCATATGTCGAGCCCTTAATCACCGATTTGATGACTTTAACTGGCCTTGGGCAACGAAAGGTGGTCTTGCTCCTCCAATGCTCGTAGTTGCTCTAAATAATCCCTGAAAAATGCTCCAAATGTGCAATTCCTTACAAAACTCAACCAAAACTACGAAAACACTAGAAAACACAAATTAGTAATAAAAGTGGCTCTAAAGAGCCAAAAACACTACTAATTATGACCAAGGGACGAGGGTAAATCACTATATAAAACAGACATATCACTGATTCAATTCGATTTCTAGAAACAGGTCAGGGTTTAGGTGAGGGCAGCTTTTGGGTTGGTGTGGGTTGGGCCATTGGGGTTTCGACGAAAACTCTGGGTAGGGGAGATGATTTCAGCGACAATGGTGGTGATGTAGCTGAGGTAGATGGTGGTGGCATGGTTTAAGAGTTTGGCGGTTTTTAGGTATTCGGGGAAGGCAAAATTCATGATTTAGGTAGCTGGTGGTGGCGTGAATGGTTTTTAGGGAAGGGGAAGGCAAAATTCTTCGGCGTTGTGGGGTGGTTTTGCTGGTTTTGGTGGGGGAGATGGGTGCCGACATCCTGGGTTATGGTGTCGGCGGCTGAGGCAAGATAGCGCTAGTGGTGGGGCTAGCTGGGTTAAGGGATTTTCTTTATATATATATATATATATATATTTTCTTTTTATTAATTTTATTTTTTTTACTATTTAAAAAAATTAATTTTTTTTAACCTATAAGCTATTGACACGTGTCAAATTATGTGTCCCACTAACGAATTCCATCCAATAATCCGTTAAGTGGTGGTGAAATCAAATTTGTGATTTTTTTTTTTTGTGGTGTTATTTTCTAAAATTTCCATTTAAATATAATAATTACTATATGGAATATGTATATAAAAATATTATTTTTGTAAATGATGTGCTTCTTTAATTAATAGATATTTGTAATATAAAAAATAAATAAATAAAAAACTAAGGACACACTTGTTATTACCGGTGTACATTTTAGTATATATTATAGATCGATTATTGATGATTATTGATTGTTGATGACCAAAAAGCAGGTTGAATTGGTGTGAATATTGTTATTTCATTCTTAATATGTCATTTTTTTTTTATTTTGGCTTACATGTAGCTCGCAGTGCTATATACATGTATATTGTTCCTAATCATTTATTGTGGACACTGCATACATGAACATTTTGTTAAGATTTGTGTACTCTACATGGGTGATATACAATGGCTCAACCTATTGGCTCAATCTGGTCCGGCTTGAAATACGTGTAGGTTTAGGCATCACTAAAACACACTTTTAGTTCAAAATCAATCTAGCTCAACAAAACCTAACACATGTTTTACAAGTCGGACGCAAAATTTTATTCATTATATCGTATAATTCATAACATATTACGTAGTATTTCTTATCGTAGAATCTGGAGTATTTCGATATTAAGCGATGACATTGCATTAAACTTGTTTGATGTAGGGATCTTAGAGTGTCATGCCATGTTGCTGGGTTAGTGTGGCCCAAGTTCCATAAGTCCAACTAATTACATCTCAAGATTTCTACAAAATTCTACCATGTTAAGAAATTGGCAGAAGATTTTAGATTTATGTGGAAATTTAAAGAACAATTATGTAGAAGTTTCTACACACTTCTTCCACCTTAACACGTCATTTATAAATATTAACATCATTTGGGAGCATGTAATAATCCACCTACATCATCTTCTTTTAAGGTTTCAACCTCTCATACACTATTTGAGTATGCAATGTGTTCCTCCTACATGTACACAGTTTGAACAACGAATTTATGAGCAAGGGATTCAATTTATTAGCATTTGAAATTACACTATCCATGGAGTTACCTGCCTGTAGGGGTTCAATTACCTAGCTCCGTCCGAAGATTTACCTCTTCTACTCGTTAATATGTCCAAGAATATCACAAGTCACAACCTATATATTTATGAGGAAATCATTACCTACCTAGCTTGGTCAAGGTGGGACCTTTTTGTACATTTTTCAAACTTTGACTTTCACCATAATTTAAATGTAATTGTGGAGCTCTTATAAAAGTTGTTGATTAATTAAGGGTCTGTACTGGTACGATTATTTTCAGTACAGTTTAGCTCTAATACTACCTCCGGTCCAAATTACTCGTAACTTTGGAATATTTTATATCTCACAAATAATACCCCAAAGTTACGAGTAATTTGGACCGGAGGTAGTAAGTTCAGTTCAGTTCAGTTCAGCTCCTAATTTCCTTCTTTTATAAAATTAAATATTCAGTTCAATTCATTTCAGTTCAGCTGAGTTCAGTCAATAAGAACAGGCCCTAAGTTAAGTTTGTACGACTATTGGATCAAGTTTTTACTAATTTAATCGGCTGGTGAACCTCTATTAAGAGCAAGTTTAGCCCCAAGTCTTAAGACTTGGGTGTGACATTATTTTCGAGGGTCCCTATTAAAATGCTATCATTAAATTCTTATTAAGACTCACTAAGACTTGTCCAAATTTATCACTTTAGCCTATGACTCAAATATATGACATGTTTTTTTTATCTACTCTTTATATTTTCTATATAATAACAACTAACATTAATGAACAAAGCCAAATAGAATTGAGGTGGGTCCCAATCTCAAGTTTTAAGTTGAGTTTTAGAATTTCATGATTCAACTTGAGACTTGCTTGAGATATAAGAAGAAAAATGAGGGAAGTTTTAAACATAAGGGTAAGTTTATCCCCAGACTCACACTCACACTCAGCCACATCAGCTTTTCACTAACTTTAATTACTTTTTTTTATTATTCAGACTTACACAAGACTCTCCCCATTTTCACAAATTATCCCAAGACTCACTCTAGACTCACTTACCCTTCTAAATACTAACATTAATTTATTTATAAACTTATTTCTTTTATAAATTATTTTTAATACTAATGATGGGTTGGCAATATATTATTGCGCCACGCAAAATTTGTCAGCTTATTGTCCCCACATGCATAGTCTTGAGATGAGTTTTTATTTGCCAAACCGCTTGCAAGACTTATGATAGTCTTGTATGACATTACTGCCAAGGTCTTGCATGAGACTCTACTTTAGACTCGCGATAAAGACACCCTAAGTCTTAAGATTCAAGATGATGATGTCACCCCAATTAAGACTTGGGGCTAAACTTGCTCTAAGAAAATTAAAAGAGGTAAACTAGCAAGGTTAAGGTTATCACACTACACCAAAAACTAGATTAGAGATCGCAAAATATAGAACGGTTATTAAAGGTAGGGGTTCTCCAGAAGAATATAGATCGTTTTAATATAAGAGGCGTTCTGTATGTTAATACATAGAGAACAGTTAGCATAGTTAACCGTTCAATATTTCAATTTACTCAAATAATTAAAAATAATAAATATTTATTATAGATGATATAGAATGGTCATCTTGACAACCGTTTTGTATTATATTAATTAATTTTTATTTTTAATTAGGAGGAAATTATATACTTACAGACACAGTAATAATTTACCCATGTTTACAAAAAAAAAAAAATACCGAAATTTCCGTCAAATTTTTTTTTTACCCAAAATACTAAAAGGGAAAATTGAAGCGCTCATCACTTTCACTTTCATCAAAAAGTGAAACCTCTTTCTCATTCATCAGTAAAAAAAAAAGTGAAACCTTCATCAAACCTCCATAGCAAATCCTTCATCAGCCGCTTATTGCACTGCCGCTCCACGTCTGCAGTACCGCACCAGTTTGCTAAGCCACCAATAAATTGAGGTAGTATCGATTTTTTTTTTTTTTTTTTTTTTTTTGGTTCGAATATTTCTTGTGGTAGAGTAATTGGATTCTGATAATTGTCAATCTAATTGCATGAATCATTCGAGTTATGGAGGAAACAGAAGTAAAATCGTAGAATTGGAATTTTAGGTGATTGAAAAAACCTTCAAAGTTATTTTTTTCGGGATAAATTCATCGATTGTTTGTATGTAAATATTTAAGCTGAATTATTGCAGTAAGTTCAATCAAATTACCCTTAATTTTGTCAAATTTACTCAACGAATTCCCGGGGTTTTGATTCGATTTTTTTGCTCGAAATTGCTCGAAATAATGCTCAAATTTGCTCAATTTTTTGCTCGAATTTGCTCGAATTTTCCCATAATCGAATTTTTTCTAATTAATGCTCGAATTCCTGGGGTTTCTTAGGGTATTTTTGTTGTTTTGCTCGAAATTGGGGGTTTGTCAACCTGAATTTTTCCGATTATGGGTTTTGTCAACATTGCTGTTTGGTTGTTCAATATGTGGGGGGTTTTTTTGGTCGAATTTCTAGGGGTTTTTGGGTCGAATTTCTGGGGTTTTTGGGTCAAAATTCTGGGGTTTTTGGGTCGAATTTCCTTGAATTTCTGGGTGATTTTTGCTCGAATTTCTTGGGGTGTTTGCAAGTAATCCACAATAGAAGGCATACTGTTGAACAGATTAATGACTTGCATTTTGCATAGGTGGTTAATTCATTATTTTTAAAACAACTGTCTAAGGCATGTGTACATAACAGAAGGAAGCACTAATGTTGAAATGTGTGATCTTTTATAGTAGTTTAAGGGGTCTAATGTTGAAAAGAGTAAAATATAGATGATTCGTATGCAGCTAGGTTGGAGATTAGACAATTGCAAGCAATAGAAAAAATTTGCAACTTTCAAACATAATGTCTTCAAAAGGTTCTTGAGGTGATGTAGGTTAAGGCAGTCATCTGTGTTGTTTTCCTTTTTTTTTTCTTTTCTTCTTTTTTTTTTTTTCTAAAGCTTGGTGTGTTATGAAGCAGGATAGCAATTATCAATTATCATTGCTGTGAAGTCAACTGATAAACAGTCAACAACCGTGGTTCTTTCCTTGACTATGTCTGGTGTGTAAAATAGTTAGCATGAATCTAATGTTTGTACTGTTTTAATTTATTTATGGCACATGAGGATTGAGATTCAAGTTTTTTTGTAAGCTTATTCCTTGTCTCAATGATGTTCTCATAGTTATTTAATTGACTGATATATATCGGTTCATATTTATTTTTACAGTAGACAAATCTCAGACAATTAAACAAAAGAACAATATAAATGGAGGAAGGGGTGATAGAAGAAGTTCTAAAGTTCCACTGAGGGCAAAATTTGATCCATTTTCGTTGAAAGTTGGCTTGACAAACTTCAGTCTCACAAGTGGAGGAAGCAATGTTTTTGATATGAAACCGGTATCTCTATTGTGAGATTGCTAAAAAAATTTCTGAGGCATGCACTGACAGAAACTATTATGCACATGGCTGTTATGTGTATTATGAACAGCCTTTTTGGATAGTATCTGTTCTTATAACTTAGATTAAAAAAAGGATATGCTTATTTATATTTAATTAGATGAATTTATTGTACATTATTAACTAATATGTATGTATTTTACATTGTTTTGTAGTATTTTAAGCAATTTCCTCCTACATATTCTCAACAAATGATCGATGAGCTTAGGGAAAGGTGGATTTTATAGTTACCGGATACCATCAACCAAATGACGACAACCACGACGATTTATGTGAATTGTAGATCAATATGGTATTGGTATATCTAAGCATAATTTATTTTTTTCAATCAACATTAACTAGAAAGGTGTTTTGATATTTAACTCACGTATTTGTTTGTATAGTACAAATTTTGTATGAATGATTCAATTTAATTATGGTTCGATGTTTTAAATTATATATATGAAGTATATTTTGATGGCTTTCGTCATATCTGGAAATATTTTTGTTGATTTTATTATATAGAACTTTAGATTGCACGTATACAGGATCATGGATTTATTTTACATAGGAAATGTGGAATTTTTCTTACAGGATAAATGTACAAGATACAAAAATAGAAATACAACAATTACAAGTCTAAATGAAATACAAAAATAATACAGATTATTAAAATACAGGAATAATACAATATAAAATACATACAAGGGTAATTCGAATAATTATGGCTGGATTTAAAAAAAAAAAACCATTAAAGAACTGTTATCTAACTTAACCGTTCTTTATTGTAATGCAATATAGAACGGTTAAGTGGCCTAAACCGTTCTTTATTCCTTCCAATGTACGAATTTAAGAAGGGAAAAGAGAACAGTTGTGACTAACAACCGTTCTCTATTTGTTCTTATATAAAACGCCTAAACGACCCGTTCGATCTCTATACTTTATACATTGCTTAGCAGAAGATCGCCCCTATAAAGCCTATTCTAACAGTTCTCTAAAGCCTTTTTTTGTAGTAGTGTCGTTTCATACTTTCATGCTAATACAAAATAAATCATACCTCCTATAGTCCTATACCATTGATAAGATGAAAGAAGGCGGCTATTTCCTTACCTTTAAAATTTTTGAGATAACTCTTATAAATAATGTTTGGACACTTATACCCATACCTTTTAAATTATTTATTTACTCTCATTAATGTTTGTTGACTTTTATTTTTATTGTAATCTTAATAATAGTGTGCGGATATTTATTACCCTAAAAAATTTTGCTTACATATTTTTCCACGTTTGCCTTAATGTTACCAACTAATTAAATAAGGGTAATGCTATATGTAGCCCTAAGGGCTATATATAAGCATTAAATACATTCTTGGAAATTGTATAAAATTAGGAATTCATGACAAAACACGGGTAAATCAGTGTAAATAGTGTTTATATTTTGATGATTTTTTTAACTTTTTATGATTTTCAATTGTAAATTTAATGTTTAAATGTAGCCCTAAGAGTTATGTATAGGATTTTCCATTAAATAATACCGTGACATAAAACCAAATTGAAAGAGATTTTCGGATATAGCTAGCTATGCACATGATGCGCGGATGAGCCACCCTAATAATTGTAAAAATTAGTATTAAACAAGCAGTGGTGGATCCAGGATTTTCGAACTTATGAGTCACCATCAATAATTAATCACTTCTTTCAATCCAAAAATTATATAAAAAATTATATTTCATCAGAATGGTTTCAATTCAAAAATAGGATAGAAAAATACATACTATAAAACTGTTACATTAAACTAACATTATGATTTTTTTTAATTAAAAACAAGAATTATTAAAAAAAAAATAGATAACTTAAGAGACCGGTTATTAAATATAACAGGTCTCTTTAATGAAATATGAAAGCAGCGCAAAAAATTATTCTAATTCAATGTCTGACATAAAGAGACCTGTTATCGTGGTGGCAATAGCAGCAACAAAGAGACTACCTATCTGATATTTTAATAGGCGTTCTCTTTGATATTTAAAAACTGACAGACTAACATGGGCTAATCTCAGATAGAAGCAACGAAGAGACCGCCTATCTGTAATATGCGGTCTCTTAGAATTTTTTTTTTTTTTTTGAGTCACGTGACTCACTGTGCACCTTAATAGATCCGCCCCTATAAACAAGACAGTATTTCTCAAACATGGTAGAGGAGGTTTATATTGAAAGAGACTTGTGATGAGCTCGTGATTATTTTTACAAAGACTAAAAGAATCGGAAATTTCTAGTGTTCTTGCTCACAGACCGTGATCATTCATATTCATAATCAAAGTTTATTAATTTAATTAGTTTATGGTACATCTTCCTAAAATAAAGAATTTCATGCACGTAATTTCTAAAGAGTGTGTTTTTCTTAAGAGTGGGCCTTTGTGTTTCTAGTACTACCTTCGTAAACTTTTGTTTCAACTTTGGGGTATTATTTGTGAGATGTAAAATATTCTAAAGTTACAATCAAAAGTTAACTGAGGTAGTCGTTTATACGTCATTCTACTATGTAAAGTTTTTTTTTAAACTTTTGTAAGCCTCATGCTTTGTTTTTAACACCACCGTTCCTCTCAATTAGTTGGTAACTAATCAAGTAATCAACTTAGATGTATTTTGTTTCTAGTTAAACCTTGGAGAGACCTTTTGGGTATTCACAAGTGGTATAGGTGTATAAAAACAACGTTTTACTAATTTAAATACGGAAGGAATATACAATCAAATGACTAAAAGCTACTTAAAATCTAATAGAGATTAGGCCGATACCTAACACGCTCTTAAATAGTTGGACCTTGACCAAGTGGGTAATAATTAGCATATGATGGGGAGTATAGCAGACAACTCTTGGCGCTATACTCTCGTACGGAGGTAGAAACATCCGTGATTCAGTGAGGAAGAAACTGCGGCCGATCTTTTCTTTTATTTTTCATTATAATTTGCAATCATACATGTTTTTCATTGAGGCAAATAGACAAAATTGAGACTATTACTCCAGATTAACAAAACCAATGTTTGTATACTTTTGTTTGTTGATTCGCCCAAACCAGGAAAAAAGCCCACAGCATTGGCATTCTGCAAAACCAGTGTTGTGTTAGAAGACGTCAATTGGAGTTGGACCCAATTATCATATGGCAATTTTATAATATATGCTCGTCAGCTCGTGACTATGTACGTAAACTATTTCAGCTTAGCTTCCAGCTGGTTTTCATTGATCTAATGCACCCCGTTCTAATACTATTACTCTAATTATCATATGGCAATCTATAATTTTCATAACTACTCGTGAATTTGTACTTCTTTCTGTTCCTATGTTCCCTTGGAATTTTGTACTATTCTCTCTCCGTTTATATCTTACTCCGTATTTCTATTCTTGGATTGTCACAAATCACGAGAAACTTGTAGGAGGATTTTTTTTCCAGGGTTAACCAATCAAGCCTTAAACCCTCTTCAATGGTGAGACTCAAGTGAGTATTTTTAGGAAAGAGAGAGTATTTTTGCAATGTATACCAATAAGTTGGTATCTAAACTCAGCAACTCCAAAAGAAAATTGCTAAGTTTAGATACTCAACTTTGAGTCTTATTTGACAAAAAGTGTGAGTCCTTGTTAATATTCTTATATATTTTGTAATTTATTTAAGTTTTACCTTTTTTTTTTTATTATTTTTTAATCTTACAATAATTTATGGGCCATAAATTGAAAGTGACTTTTGTATATTTTAGAGAGTATCACTACCATTGGAAAATTAGACTTAACATTAGTTGCTAAATTGAGAAGTGGGTATGATCTCACCATTGAAGGTGAAAAACAACTCATTTTGTATTTCAATACTCAAAGTTGAGTCTCACCATTGGAGATGGTCTTAGGTTAGTAAAGAATTATTGAAATTGACAGGTATTTCACTCTATATCCTTGTATTTTAACTTTATTTACCATATACTTGCGAAAATTTTTAAATTCACCATATACCAATCAGTTTCACGAAAATGTCACAACATGTCATTTTTTGTTAGTTCCATTAGTTATATATTAACGTAAATTGTGTCATGTGGCAGCTTTTGAGAGATTCTTATTTAAATTAATTAACTAATTAACTAGCATAGCACCCGTGCGATGCACAACTTACAAATCTTATTACTCATATTCATTTCACAAAATTTTAAGATAAAACGATTTAATGAGTAATAATAAATTTATTTACATAGATGTCTTAATCATGCATTTATAGCCTCTTAAATTTATTTATATATATACGTATGTATGTAACCTGTTTAACCGGTTAAAGATCAAATGGATCTGTTGGAGAAGGTGGAGTAAAAAGGTTGGATTTTTGAGGAATAAAATGAAGGTTGGATTTTTAGGAAAAAAAAGTGCAAATGTTGGATTTTTCTTTTCCATTTTTCCTATTTAAAAACTTTACTTTCAATTTAAGAATAAAAAAGTTGTCTTTAAAGTAGATATCATTATTTTAAGAGGCTATAAATGCATGATTAAGACATCTATGTAAATAAATTTATTATTACTCATTAAATCGTTTTATCTTAAAATTTTGTGAAATGAATATGAGTAATAAGATTTGTAAGTTGTGCATCGCACGGGTGCTATGCTAGTTAATTAGTTAATTAATTTAAATAAGAATCACTCAAAAGCTGCCACATGACACAATTTACGTTAATATATAACTAATGGAACTAACAAAAAATGACATGTTGTGACATTTTCGTGAAACTGATTGGTATATGGTGAATTTAAAAATTTTCGCAAGTATATGGTAAATAAAGTTAAAATACAAGGATATAGAGTGAAATACCTGTCAATTTCAATAATTCTTTACTAACCTAAGACCATCTCCAATGGTGAGACTCAACTTTGAGTATTGAAATACAAAATGAGTTGTTTTTCACCTTCAATGGTGACATCATACCCACTTCTCAATTTAACAACTAATGTTAAGTCTAATTTTCCAATGGTAGTGATACTCTCTAAAATATACAAAAGTCACTTTCAATTTCTGGCCCATAAATTATTGTAAGATTAAAAAATAATAAAAAAAAGGTAAAACTTAAATAAATTACAAAATATATAAGAATATTAACAAGGACTCACACTTTTTGTCAAATAAGACTCAAAGTTGAGTATCTAAACTTATCAATTTTCTTTTGGAGTTGCTGAGTTTAGATACCAACTTATTGGTATACATTGCAAAAATACTCTCTCTCTCCTAAAAATACTCACTTGAATCTCACCATTGAAGAGGGTTTAAGGCTTGATTGGTTAACCCTGGAAAAAAAGGGATTTGTTAAACATCGCCCACAAATTACTACATAAAGCCCACAAAATTCACTTGGTTTCCCAAAATTGCCCTTGACCTTAAAAAAAAAAACACTCACACTCTCATCACTCACACTCTCATCACTCACACTCTCATTGCTCATCTTCTTTCAACCTCTCTAAAAAAAAAAAAAATT